GAAAAAATTATAGCAGAAGGCATGGTACCAGGAAGGAGGGTCCCAGGCCGACACAGCCTTGAGTGGGTACCGGATGTAGTTCTGGGAAGTAGAGGCGGCCGGCGTGATGCTGACCACACCACCCATCTTGTGCCGATTGGTCTATACAAATATAGGTCTAGCCCTAAATGCCCTATACGCCTAAAGGCGTTGATAAGGGTCCTTTATTTTACTTACTTTACTTACTTATGTGCACCACATAAAATGGCTTAGCATTTCACGCCACCAAACAGCGATCAAAGATGCGATCAAAGGAGAGTAAGTTGTCTACCAGCAAGCCAGTGGGTTAGCCGGTCGCCGGTGGTACTTTCTGTACAGTGGCTAGTTACTTTTAATGTTCAAAGTATACTCATTATTTGTCTAGGAATGTAGGTCTCCACTGTTCAAAGCAATTCCTTGTTTGTTGACTCACATTCTACGATTTGCTGGCATATACCGAAACAAGCTCACAGTACATATCCGTTGATTCTTCCTAATTTTCACTGGCGATAAACTCACAAGGAAACCTTTGGTTGTTCGTCTAGTTCTTGACTTTTAGTCTTGTTCCGGAACTTAAATTTTGCATGAACATACATGCAAGAGATCTAGCTTATTCGTATGCAGACTGTTGGTTCCTCGCTTCTCAAGCAGACGCATTTTGTCTCCGATGGGACAAAACCCTTATTAGTCGCCTTTATCTTTAGGTTGCAAAGAAAGCAGCGCAAGAAGCTCTAAATATTCATCGGTAGTGGATTCCATAAAGCAGGCTTAAGGTTTGAGATTTGAACAACGGATCGACATCATGGCACACGGGTAGTAACCCATAAGTGCTCCGTACTTCTTCTAACTCAAGTCTGAGCCCGAAGAAGCTCAGCACATTTCACAGGCTCTGTAGCACCGGCGAGGATCTTAAATATTTTGGGTAGATTTTTAACACAAATTTTGCATGGGCAGCGCCGTTAGGCTACACTTTTGATTTCCAACTGCCAAGAGATTTTTTACCTGCACAACAATGCACACGGGCGTCAGATCTCACATACCCAGAGAGCAGAGGAAATTACTAGAAGTCCAAGTCAACGGGAAAAAGTCCCAGCCCTTACCGGATATTGAACCCGGAACCTCTAGCACTCGAGGCGGACACTATGCCTTGAGACCACGCAGCCCCCCCCCCCCCACCCCACCCCCATACCGTAAAGCAAAGGCACAAAAACCTAGGTTCCTTGGGTTCTAGCCTCTTTAACCCTACCCTACCCCTTATATATATATATATATATATATATATATATATATATATATATATATATATATATATATATATATATATATATATATATATATATATATATATATATTAGAGCTGTACCGAATATTCACTTCGTATTCGCTTCGGGGCCGAATAGTGGACCTATTGACTATTCGGTATTCGGCCGAAAAGATGCGATCGGACTTAATGCTGACAACATGGAACGATTGGTTTTGTTGAAAGCTAATGCAGCTTTCATTCATTAACTAATCTGTCAGTGACAATTTCTAAGTTTAGTTGATTGTTATAATACTTAGGATTATTTTATTCCTAGTTATTAGTTACCACAGACTGACTGAAGGATGCGAAACATAACATGTTTTTAAATGTTTACTATTCTGTACGAATACTAACTAGACAGGAAAAGAATATAAACTCTGGCCACATCCAAGTCGATGATGTGAAAATCAAACGAACGGAAACATATAAGTACTTGGGTGCAAACTTCAACTGCTCCAACATGCTGAGAGAAGAAATACAATCAATACAATCTAGAAATAAAGTATACTATGCCCTTCAACATCTTCTAAAGTCAAAGCGTCTGTCTTGCAACACCAAGATCCAAATATATAAAACGTTGATAAGACCAGTCTTTTTATATGGCTCTGAAACTTGAAGCAATAATGAAAAAGATGAGGCCTTATTACAGGTTTTCAAAAACAGTTTGCAGCAGTAAACCCTAAGGGCTCAGAATGCTAAAGAAGAAGATGACTATTCTGTGCTATTGTTACATATCACTCCTGTCGCGTGCCTAATGTAAGGATTCCTCCTTCAGAACCAACAGCACTCAGAGATAATTATGTTGAGTCGTTTGGCTCGTATTGGTCTAAGGGATTCCCCGTGGCCAATATACGCTCAACTTATATCTGGAGTAGGGCAACTCAAGTATTGGCACTACAAAATATATCAGTATATAAATACAATATTTCTAGGCACACTTGGCTGGACACCCCCCACTACTTACTAAAGAAAGCCCCCAGGTTATGATAGTTCATTATCATAACCATGTTAACACATATAATGAAGATACATACACATACAACTGCTAAACACTTAAGAAGGTGACATAGAGAAACCTAAGTCAGCCATGAAAATGAATGCATGTATTTAGTATAATATCTGTACATAAAAAAAATTGAAGTGAATTCCAGCTATCAGTGAAAGAATCTCAGCACTAATGTCTAGATCCCAAGGAAACTATCCAGACAGCCGGTCCTGGAGGTGACTATATGTCATCATTGGAAACAAATGAGCTGTGAGGAAAAAAAAAAACAGCATATGGAGCATCAGACTTAGCTTCTATCCTTTCTGTCTATGATGCCTCCTTCAGCTCCGGATGATTCGACTGTCTTTGATTCTGGAAATTCTGCTCCACTGGATCAAATAGTCAGAGAGTACCTCACCATAGAGGACACAATACTGCACTGGTACTTAGCAAGTCTCTATCACCACGTAGACTACACATTGTTTTTGAGCTACCCTAAGCTCTAGCACTGGTAGGCTGTTTGAGGTACCATCTCCCACATGTTGGAGATGTCAGGAACCTTCACAGGTGTTAGCTGGTGGGTACAGTTAGTTTAGGGTTGTTTGATTGATTGATGGGTGTTGGTTGGACTGTGAAACTTCTGCCAGCTCCTCACAAAAGATACATCCTGTCAAGAAAATAACTCAACATTAGTCATCACCAAGAGGGTAACATCTTGACAGGAAAGACAGAACAAGCATCAGTCATCAACCCCCATCTGCTGACTCCCCCCTGCTCTCCTGTTTCATTCCTCAGATTGTCTCTCCAGACCAAGAGACATAAGTCTCCTATATTCATCTGTCTGTTTAGTGCAAGAGAAGGCAAGTCAGATATACAGTGGAGATAGATAAAGTGTTCTAACACATATATCACTCTCTCTCTCTCTCCCCTCCCTCTGCACACAGACACCAATATTTACTGTCAGTACCTGCATTCACTAGATTTCCCAACGCTCGCCCTAGCACTCATTGATCTGGGTCAAACACACACATACTTTGATTAACAAAGTCCTGACCCAATTCTGTCCCCATTTGGTATGCACAACTTCTCTAGTTAGTTTAAAACGTACATACTTGTAAGGGTATTAAGTTTTACCAGTATGGGTGGTTTATTGAGGGCATAAGCTATTTAGTCTGTACAGGGGAAGATCTACGTTCGAATCCGCTACTCTAGCGATCAAGAACGGTCGAACTAAGTGTGATCACACAGCCGATACTGATCTCTCTACAGCAGTGACTACTTTACAGACATCATTTTAGGTACTCGTAAACTATTATTAACTTACCCAAGCATATGTAAAAACTGAGACATTCCAGATCGCCGTGAAAGATGAAATAATACAGGCATAGATTGACACGTCTGGACGCTAGGAACCGGCAAGAGAGAATAGCGTCACTTAGACACTTCAGGCGTTGGTACAAAATAAGTCCCTAGTATACATGAGCAAGGAGTAAATCGGTTTCCACGAAACCTCAAATAACTCCCTTTATATATATCGAAGATATATACATTTAAAAGTGGAGTTTAGTTAAAGCAACCAGAAAAGGTAGACATAATAATGTTGTCCAATAAAGGCCTATATATATAGATATAAGGGACTATATCTTTCCGGGCGAGTCCAAGTTTGAATTTTGTGCAGATTACAGGTAAGTCAGGTTATCAGCCTTACAGACCGATGCGTAATGGCTATCATTTCACGACAGCTATTTTATGTGAAGTAAAAGTTCAGCGTACATTTGACATTATGAATATGTGTGTGTGTGTGTGTGTGTGTGTGTGTGTGTGTTTGTGGATATAATTTTTACACTATTTACTAATCGTAATCGTATTCGGCCGAATAGTTGGTCACGTTATTCGTATTTGGCCGAATAGTGAAAATCACTATTCGGTGCAGCCCTAATGTATATGCTAAGCACAGACATAGAAACACACACATACACAAACAACTTTATGTTTCAAATTAGGGGGCTTTTGAGGTGAAAGGCTATAGAAAGATTCTCAGAATACAGACAAGGAAGAAAACATTTTAACAGATCTGATCAGAACGGAAGATTGGCTAATAAAAATCATCTTGTCTGAGAAGCTGAAATATGTTAGTCAAATCAAGCGCCATCGCGGATTAAAACAAATAGCAGAAGACATGATACCAGGAAGGATGGTCAGAGGCCACCCAAAAGACTTCTGCTAAAATTGTTTCTTACCACCCGCCATGAAGCTTGTTATGAACAAACTAACTCAGCTTCCGAGACAGTATGCTGTTAATTAGCCAATCTTCCTTGATGTTCAGATCTTTTAAAATGTCAGTATTTCTTCTATCCCCGCCCCTCCCCCCTCCAAGTATTCCGAGAATTTTTCTACAACATTTTAGCTCTAAAGCCCCTATTTTCTACCTTAAGGACTTAGAGATATTCGATGACACAAGTCCGAATGTTGCTACAGGGAAGATGCGTCTTCTCAAAATTTTAATTTTGATTTCATAGCTTATGCTTAATCATAGACTTTAAATGCTAATTAATATTTGCATTGCTATGTCCGTTTTCCTTTTGACTTCTGTCAAACGGTCTTCATTGCTATTGCCTAGATATTAAAAATATGTAAAATTTTACCTTCACCATTTTTGGGGGGGGGATGACCGCCATTTTTTGTCTGTAAATCAGATATATGTGCGTTTTGAAGACCCCCACTCCCAACCCCCCCCCCCCCCCCCCCCCAACCCAAAAGAAAAAAAAATAATTGATTAAGAAGCGTGAAAAGGATCCTTTTCAGGCCATGGGCATATTGACAATATAGTGACAGACAAATCACTTTGTGTGTGTGTGTGTTATAATCAATCAGCACTAGATCTTTGCTGATATAAACATCGCTCCAACCGGCACCACTTTCCGTGGCACGGAACTTCGTTGTTAGGCTGAGAAGAAAAATATCAAGTTTTAAATCCGCGTGTTAGGGATCAAATCAGAAACATAACAGCGGTCAGACAAGCGTCTAGCAACTGCCCTACTGTGGCTCGAATGTCTGTAACGGTAATTTTCTAAAAAGCCTGGAAAAACAAAAATCTATTTTCAAACACAAACGAAGGAAACGAGCACAAAAAGATACACAGGGAAGTCTGGAAAATTAATGATATCACATGATTAGGTTCCCTTTGTTATCAAGCAAACATACTGATACATGCACATCAGATTGTTATATAATACATGTGTACACTACACAGATGTCTGTTGGCGGCAACAGCTCAGATGCGTCATCAGAAGAACAGGGTATGATTATTATCTGGTCTCACCTGGTGTTGCCGTTGTTCAGTGTCTCATTCAAAGTATTTAAGAGTGTGTTTAACTAGCTAGATATAAATGCCTTGGGTCAGGTAGAAATAGCTTGTTCCTGCTTGCTTGTTTGACGTACGTACTAGATAACAAAATTTGGACTATTTTTGCATTTGATTTTTTGTATCCATGTAACCTTTCCTGCTTCTTTATTAATACAGTGTAGTCTTATTTCAGAAACTGTTATTGTTGGTGTGCCTATTGTTGTTACTGTTGTTATTATGGTTGTTGTTGTAGTTCATCATCTTTTTCTTCTTCTTCTTCTTCTTCTTCTTCTTCTTCTTCTTCTTCTTCTTCTTCTTCTTCTTCTTCTTCTTCTTCTTCTTCTTCTTCTTCTTCTTCTTCTGCTTCTTCTTCTTCTGCTTCTTCTTCTTCACCTCCTCCTTCTCCAGTCTTAGGCTTCTGTACCTTCTTAGTTATCATCCTTTCTTTCACTTTCACCATACTTTCTCTTTCCTAGTTCTGCTCCTCCTTTTTCTGCTAAAATATATACCTATTTATCTCAAAAGTTTACTTTTCCCCCTTATCCTTGTGGATAACATTCAATTGTCTTATACTTTTGTTTGTCACCGATAAATCGATCAGGTTATCCTCTCCAGACTGCTACTTACTGGTTAAGCATTTTACCTTGAGATTTAAAAAAATCTTAATCTGGACACCACACCAACAAGACAGATCAAAGATACCCCGCTCAATGGATCCAGAAAATACACAAGCAAGTCTATGCGACCTGTGTGATGTTGACCCCCCCCCCCTCCCTCAATCGATTACCGAATGAGTTTATAAAATGCGAGTCTAGCACCATACGCCTGTGCGCCACTGGCATGAATAGGTTATTGAAACAAACAGTTTATAGACCAACGGTACAGGATGGGTGATGTTGTCAGCACCACGCCGGCTGCTTTTACTTCCTAGGACTACATCTGGTACCCACTTAAGGCTGGGTCGACCTGGAAGCCAAGATCATTTTTGAAACAAAAAAGTTCGGCTCCTCTAGGGAGCGAACTCCCGACCTTCCGATCCGCAGGCGAAATTCTAGGCGCTGGTGACTCCCTGAATTGCAATATACTTTAAAAAAATATATTTTGTGATTTTGTTTTTTAATCATCATAACCAGTAGCTGCTATTCTCTTTGAAAATCAAAAGTCATTGCAATTTGAATTGTCTAAAACTTGAAAATCCACTTTATTTGTGTAATTACAGGTGTATCTTTACATGAGGAGTGACATTTTCGAGGACATCAATATCATCTGTGGCTTGTCGAAAGCAACGTCTTACCATATTTCCAGTTATAGTTAGGTTGTATGGACATGGGACTTGACAATTCACTGCGGACAATTCAAATGTTTGTCAACATTTGCTTAGCTGTCGGTCAATGCAATACACTGTGTGAGATACCCACTTTTCGAAACATCTTTTTACATTTAGTTATGATATTAATGTAGAATTGTATGCCATTATTGAGGTAGCAATTTTGATGGTCAAGGAAACATAGAGGAATATATTATGGCAATGCATAGACAGTTTCAAAAACCTAATCAAAATACGGAACAAAGTTGTAGTTTTAAAAGCACGTTGCATACTTTCAATTCTAATGTTTAAAAAAAAAATAGTTTCAACGTATGACAGGAAACAACGAAGAACCACTGACTGATTTTATACCCCACCAGGACATCACACAAGCGATAAACACCCGATGACACAAAGTGCCACCATGTGGGTGAGAGGTCCCAGAAACCGCGTTCAGCCAATTGGCCATATTTATGGGCTGGCTATATTGCGGCCCCTAGCAAGAGTCAGAGTAGAGTTTATAATGACGAAAATTAGGACGCCTTTTTAACCGATAGACGAAGAACAACTAAAGTCATGAAAGAAAAGGCAGAAACATATGGAAACAAATACCCGGGGAACAATGTTGACAATCAAATCAAGAGGCGTGATGAAATCAAAGAAATTTATGGGCAGCTAGTGGTAACAACAGTTTCAGAACAAAGAAGTATAGATGAAGCGAGAAGATAAAAGGAAATAAAGAAATTTAGGAAGCCAGGAAGTTAAATACATACACACAAAACAAAAGTTGATGAGAGAGGCCGAAGGTGCTGGATTAAATTGCACCAATTCCAGTCAGCACAAAGAGACATCTCATACAAACCATGAAAATGAGGTGTCTGAGAAAGACTGTAGGAGTGACCTGAAGAGATATAATCAGGAATGAGGTCATACAAGATAAAGTCGGCACATAACCAATTCTAAATTACACAGAAAGACAGCAAATCAAATATTTTGCCCACTTGGAGAGAATGCCTTTTGATTCTTTTCCATTTAAGGAATACACCAAAAGAGGAGAAAGACGTAGAGCAAGAGGTAGACCAAGAACAATATGGAAGGATAACGTCAGAGAAACTCTACAGTACTAAGATGTGTCTGTGGTCGAAACAGCCAGAAAACTGCCAAGCAGGACCTTATATCTCCCTATACACCCGGAGGGGTAAAAGATGACGTAAAGAAGAAGAAAAAATGAAAGGAATGAAGGAATGGATTGCAAACTCTGTGTAACATGGAATGGCACAACAGGACAACGATGATGGTGATAAGCGACACAACAGGACAACGATGATGGTGATAAGAAACACAATAGAAAAAAGAAAAAAAAACTTCTAAGCATGACTTTTTTCTCTAGAAATTAAGGAGCCAGTACTCACTAACATTCACAAAGTATCTATTTCAATAGCGCTGAACCTCTAATAGGTTTCCTGGCCGAATTGTGAAGGAAAACAATAATTAAACAGACAGGAACCCTTGAGGCCATATAAAAATTAAATTAATAAACAAACAGACAACGTGTTGATTGGCACTCATAGAAAGAAGTAGAAAGATAAAAGAACACACTAGACAACATAAAAATAGAAAGTATAGTTACTGAGTCTGGAATCGAACCTGCCACCTGCAAGTGGAGTGTGCGCCTCGCCATATAAACAAGTGTACTAAGAACATGGTCAACTATATACTTCTTTCTACATCTTTATATGAGTGCCATTCATACATTGGGGAAAACAAGAACAGACACACTGCCTGTCTAGCAAACATGTCGTAGGAGTCGACTTATTGGGAGCATCCTTCGTAGTCGAAATACATCTGCCTGAGAGGTAAGGAACCAAGTGTCTGCATACTCATAAGCAAGATCTATAAATGGATGTGCACGCAACTATCAGTTTCTGGAACAGGACTAAAGACCGGAGGTGAACGAACAACCAGAACTTTCCACTATAGTTTACTGCCGGCGAAGGTAAAGAAGAAGAAGAAGAAGAAGAAGAAGAAGAAGAAGAAGAAGAAGAAGAAGAAGAAGAAGAAGAAGAAGAAGAAGAAGAAGAAGAAGAAGAAGAAGAGGAAGAAGAAGAAGAAGAAGAAGAGGAAGAAGAAGAAGAAGAGAAATAAGAAGAAGAAGAAGAAGAAAAAGAGGAAGAAAAAGAAGAAGAAGAGGAAGAAGAAGAAGGAGAACAAGAACAAGAACAAGAAGAACAAGATCAAGAAGAACAAGAAGAAGAAGACAACGAAAAAAAAGTAGAAGAAGAAGAAGAAAAGAAGAAGAAGAAGAAGAAGAAGAAGAAGAAGAAAAAGAAGAAATAGAAGAAGAAAAGAAGAAGAAGAAGAAAAGAAGTAGAAAAAAAAAGAAGAGGAAGAAAAAGAAGAATAAGAAGAAGGAAGAAGAAGAAAGAAAAAGAAGAAAGAATAAGTAGAAGTGCTTATAATTTTAAATCTTAGTATAATGCACGAAAGAATAGTATCACAGTTCCGGATAACAATTCTGTATTCGCAAGAATAAAGTGTATGCTATGGAACAGCTGGTTACACCGGGTTCCTTTCTGTTGTAGTCTTTGCAAACGACCTAATTTAAACATCTTTACACCTTTTCTGACTACCACCTGCTGCAGTTGGATTACCATCTGCTTCGAGCCACAATATCTAGAGGTAATCTGGGGCTGGCTTATTCAAAAGTATTTCAAAATAACAACCCAGTTATCCATTTGATCTTTAGTGTTGGTGAGTGGCTATTTTCCAGTTGGCTGAGTGTATTTTTCTGTTAATTTCCTTGTGTTACGGTAAAGGTCTCTAAGGCTTTTTTTTAGCTGCTGCTGCTATCTCTGCTTCTTGTGCTAAGTCATCTAAATATTTCCTTTTATCTGCCCTTATACGCCTCCTAATTTCTGTATTAGCTTCTGTATGTTTTTAACGAGCTCTATATTTGGCAGTTTCAGTTTTGCTATTGTTTAGGTATCTCTTTTTACCACAATCAATTCGAACAATTACTAGAAGATATGGATAATCAGTTTACCAGTGTTTCATTATACACATAAGTCTGCTGGTCATGTCACAAAGTGCTGATAATATTTTATTTTGTTGAGACAAACAATAATTATATGCATGTGTGTGTGTGTGTGTGTGTGTGTGTGTGTGTGTGTGTGTGTGTGTGTGCGTGCGTATGTGTGTGTGTGTGTGTTTAGATGGGAGGTCAAAACGCTGATAAAATAAAAGAAGAAAATAGGTCCAAGATCTGGTTTTTGCTGTGACCATTACTGCACATGTAACAGATCTTACTTTAAAATTACAGGGTTGAAAAAATAAAAACTATTCAGTCCTCTGTACCAAGTGCTCCATAACGAATTTAAGCTTTTGGAAGTCGCAGTTGTCAAATGGAAATTTAGTTTATTTCCTAAGTTAAAGAACTGGAAAACGCTGCCAGTACTAAATATGCACTTAGCTTTGCTAAATATGAAGGTCGCCTGGAAATGTTGTAAAAGAATTTTTAGAACGCTTTGGTGATTTCTCATCGTTTGAACACAACTTTGCATTATTCTGAGCACAATTCATCTTTACTGTTGCCAAAACACAAGAAAGCCTGCTGGTGGAACTTTTAGAAATGTAGTCGGATTTAACGCTTAGAGCAAAAAACCTTTAACTGGAAATACCAGGTCTCCTTTCAAATCTTCATGAAAAGATAAAGAAACTTAAGAAAGTTTGCCACAAAGAGTAGGACAATGTTCGGTTCGACATCTGTGTGAACAGTTATTTTGCTTCATGAAATCAACAAAAACTTCTAAAGGAATAAGTCTGACTGATCAACAGTTGTCATCTCTGGTTAAAGCCGGAACTGCACAGACATTTAAGCCAGCATAGCAAAAAAAAAATGTCATTAAAAAAATGAGGTGTCAAGCCTCAGGACAAAACACTATAAACAGTCGTAAATGAAGGTTAATTTTTTACTATAATAATTTGTGTACAAAGTACTTGTTTCTATTGCATACAAGTCTATATTTGCTGTTTGAAATTGTATCCCTTCCTCCCTCTCCCTTTTTTTCCCAACTGTTCAACTACTTCATTACTTTACATTCATAAATGGTACTAACCGCTAAACCATTTGAATGCACATTGTGTGTTTCTCAGTTTAGGTAATTTTTATGAAATGACTTCAGTGAGTTGGTTGTGTACGACCCTCATGACAACGCTGATGCGACCCATACTGTCCTCAATGAGTTTGACATAACTGTTCTATAAGGATTTGGACATTTCTTTCTCTCCAGGAAAAAAAAATTGTTGTGTTCTCGGCATTTAAAATAATACACTATTATTTGTTTTGTATATAATCTGTACATTGCATCTAAAATTAATTAAATTGTGTTGCTTTTCAGTTGTCGTATTTTATTTTTTCAGTTACGAAATGGGACGGTCTCAAAGGTAAACAAGTTTTTAAAAAAAGTTTGTTATGTTATTAGGAACAATATATATATACACACACACAAACACACACACACATGTATATATGTATATATATGTATATATATATATGTACATACACAAATACATATAAATGTATGTATGTATATACATATATATTTACATAAGTATTATGTATGTATGTGTATGTCATATATATATATATAATGGACACTTATACAGGGCAACTTATGGGTATGAACCATAACTATCTCACAGGCACTACAGAATTATCATTTTTTTTTTTTTTCAAGTAAAGCGAGATATTTAAGTTAACACGTTACAGATGTTTCTTATAGTTAAACGCTTGTTGCGTATTCTTTACAGAATTTTTGACTGTTCGGTTTCACTAAACAGTTTTATGTGAAGTATTCGCCATTGCTTTCTAAACACTCCGCTGTCAAAAAAGATAAAATCGAAATGGTCTTCTTGAATTTTCTTACCCGCGTTCACCGGCTGTAAACTCCGGCAGAAAGTTTTGGTTGTTTGTCCACCTCTAGACTTTCTTCTTTTTCCAGAACCCGAGAGTTGCGTGCACATCGGTTAAACAAATCTGATTTAATTGTATGCAATTGTTGGTTCTTTGCCTCTTAGGCAACTGCACTAGGACTTCAAACAAAGCCCCCAATTAGTCGACCCTTTCAACATGCTGGTTGGGAAGGCAGTGGGTATACTCTTGTTTTCCCTATAATAGGGCCCCGGAACCCACACGGGGAAGTGTGTTGTATCAATGTGTACTTCAATGCTGGTATGCAATTTAATAATTGTCTTTTCGACATAAATAATTATATTGAAAACAATACTTTCCAATCAATAATTCAAGTAACGAAGATTCAAACATTTCACTGCGTAGTATATTCTCTGGTTTACCTTGTGTGTTTTGAAAAATACCCCGAACAATACGAAAGGCTTGCTTGAGACAATTCTTAGCCCGGCTCTCTAGCGTAGTTGGCTAAACCGGATTGCGCGGTGACCGGGTGACGAACTCCTTGTGGTCCGGGTTCACTCCCGGGGGCAGGCAGAAAAGCCCCATTTCTCCCAGATTTACGGTTTTACAATGGAATCAAGGCTGAAAGGTTGCGATATCCATAATACCGAGCATAATGGTTAACAAATCATGGCTTGTGGATACTTTTTTTTTTTTAGTTAGTTGCTTATCCTTCACAGGACGTTGCAGAACCAACCCCAACAGTCCCTGGCTGTTGTATGGTTTCTCTAGGCAAGTTACATCCAGTAGTTTGCCATTGCTCACTGGACGGTCGGCTTTCTTGATACCACTGTCGAAACCAACGCAAGGTGCATTGCCCGCAGCTGGGATCGAACCTGGCGTCCCGGCATTACGAAGCGAAGCGTTCGCATCGACTTAGCCACAGAGCCGACTTCTGGATACTAAAACAAACAAAAACAAACGAGAACAGACATGTTTCTGCAGTTTGCGGCAAAACGCCAGCTCATCCTGATAGCGCTTAGCGTGCTGTACGAGTCGCGGATAGAAGAAAATCACATGTACAAGCTCGAATAGTACTGTGAATTGGTAGCTAGTCTGAGGGCGATGAGGCGTACACAGTAAAATGCTGCGCTGTCGAGGTAGGCGCAAGAGGGCTAATTTCCAAATCGACATACAATGTACTAAAGCACCTGGGCTTGCGAGGCAAAGAGCGTAAACGAACACTAAAACAACTGGGTGATGCGGTTAAAAGGAATTCGAGCTGACAGTCAACGCATCAGAACGTCGTAGGGAATAGGCCTCTATAGACTAGTCCCAGCCTCTAGCGGAAAAAGAACTTTACATCCTGTAACCTATAGTGTCGGATTTAGTCTGCCAGTGTCTCTCTGCCAATTGCCAAAGTCCAACATCTAACTGAAGAACCAGCCGTTTACTTGTCACCCGGGTCGTCAAGGTAAGTCCCTAATTTGCTACTGCAGCGACAATATATAACACCAAACATGACAATACCTTTTGCAAGGTCCCCACTTCGTCTTGTCGGAACGTCCGTTAAGCACAGCAGAGGATGTCCTTGGCGCTGAGGTATGAATGTATTTGGCCCACCCTGCGAGATTGTCTAGGAAAGGAAAGGAAAGGAAGGTCTTCGTTTTATCTATCTATATCCTTTTCTATTGGCTGTTGACACATAAGGCATTCACAAGTGATCTCCATTGCTGCAGGTCTGCTGCTTTTCTGCCCATGGTATCACATGTCAGTTTACATTCCTTTATTTTCCGTTCTATTGTCCTTTTCCAGGTTTTATTAGGTCGTCCAAGTCTCCTTTTCCCCTGTCGTGAAATGATAGCCATTACGCATCGGTCTGTAAGGCTGATAACCTGTCTTACCTGTAATCTGCACAAAATTCAAACTTGGACTCACCCAGAAATATATAGTCCCTTATATCTATATATATATGCCTGTATTGGACAACATTATTATGTCTGCCTTTTCTGGTTACTTTAACTAAACTCCACTTTTAAATGTATATCTCTTGGAGATATATTAAGGGAGTTATTTGAGGTTTCTTGGAAACCGATTTACTCCTTGCCCAAGTATACAAGGGACTTCTTTTGTACCAACGCCTGAAGTGTCTAAGTGACGCTATTCTCCTTGCCAGCTTCTCAAGCGTCCAGATGTGTTAATCTGTGCCTGTATAAATTTCACTTTTCAAGGCAATCTGGAATGTCTCAGTTTTTACATATGCTTGGGTAAGTTAATTATAGTTTACGAGTACCTAGAATGATGTCTGTAAAGTAGTCACTGCTGTAGAGAAATCAGTATCGGCTGTGTGATCTCATTTAGTTCGACCGTTCTTGATCGCTAGAGTAGCGGATTCGAACGTAGATCTCCCACTGTACAGACTAAATAACTTATGCCCTCAATAAACCACCCATACTGGTAAAACCTAATACCCTTACAAAGATGTACGTTTGAAACTAACTAGAGAATCTGTACATACGAAATGGGGACATAATTGGGTCAGGGCTTTGTTAATCAAAGTATGTGTGTGCTTGACCCAGATCAATGAGTGCTGGGGCGGTTGGGAAAGCTAGTGAATGCAGGTACTGACAGTAAATATTGGTGTCTGTGTGCAGAGTGAGGGGGAGAGGGAGAGTGATATATGTGTTAGACCACTTTATCTATCTCCACTGTATATCTGACTTGCCTTCTCTTGCACTAAACAGACAGATAAATATAGGAGACTTATGTCTTTTGGTCTGGAGAGGCAATCTGAGGAATGAAACAGGAGAGCAGAGAGGAGTCAGCAGATGGGGATTGATGACTGATGCTTGCTCTGTCTTTCCTGTCAAGATGTTACCCTCTTGGTGATGACTAATGTTGAGTTATTTTCTTGACAGGATGTATCTTTTCTGAAGAGCTGGCAGAAGATTCACAGTCAAACCAACATCCACCAACCATCAAACCACCAGAAACAACTTGTTACCCACCAGCTAACACCTGTGAAGGTTCCTGACATCTCCAACATGTGGGAGATGGTACCTCAAACAGCTACCAGTGCTAGAGCTTAGTGTGGCTCAAAGACATTGTGTGTCCTTACTGGTGATAGAGACTTGCTAAATTCCGGTACAGTTGCTGTGTCTTCTATGGTGAAGTACTCTTTCACTACCTGATCCAGTTGAGCAGAATTACCAGAGTCAAAGACAGTTGAATCATCAGGAGCTGAGGGAGGCATCATAGACAGAAAGAGGCTAAGTGCAGTTTGATACCTTATGTGCTTTATTCCTCACAGCTCCTAGGTTGTCCAATGATGACAAGATGTCATCTCCAAGACCTTCTGTCTGTGTAGTATCTTTGTGATTTGGACAGGATATCCTGAGATCTAGCCTAGGAGATCTGGCAATTGTCTCACTTTTATATATCTATTTTATATTGATTACATGCATTCATTTTCATGGCTGACTTAGGTGTCTCTATTTCACCTTTTTAAGTGTTTAGCAGTTGTGTATGTATGTATCTTCATTATATGTGTTAACATGGTTATGATAATGAACTATCATTACCTGGGGGCTTTCTTTAGTAAGTAGTGGGGGTGTCCAGCCAAGTGTGCCTAAAAATATTGTATTTATATACTGATATATTTTGTAGTGCCAATACTTGAGTTGCCCTACTCCAGAGATAAGTTGAGCGTATATTGGCCACGGGGAATCCCTTAGACCAATACGAGCCAAACGACTCAACATAATTATCTCTGAGTGCTGTTGGTTCTGAAGGAGAAATCCTTACATTAGGCACGCGACAGGAGTGATATGTGACATCCCCTTTGCTGTCCACCGTAGAGCTATTTTTGTCACAAGGCATTCTGCAAACATGTCCAAGCCATCTCCATCGTTTTACTTTGATTACGTTTGTCAGTTATGTACATGCTGTTTTCCTCCTGTTCTCCATTTTTGATCTTGTTTGGCCAAAATTTTCGTAAAATTCTCCTTAAACATTTATTTTGAAAAGTCTCAAGTTTACGAGTAATTTCTGCTGTCATTTTTCAACATTCACTGCTGTATTCCTAAAATGTTGCACTTGTATATTCTGAGTTTTGTCTTCAAAATAAATCCCTTTGACTTCCATATATTGTTAAACATGGCAGATGCTTGATTTGCTTTGTTTATTTTTGATGTTAAATCCTTTTCATAATCTCCATCTGGAGTAACTTTACTTCCGAGGTATATAAATTCTTCAACTTCCTCTATTGCTTCAACATTTAAGATAACTGGATTTTCTGTTTTAAAATAATTTCTCATTACTTTAGTTTCACAGGTGCTTATTTTGAGTCCTGTCTTAAGGGGTGTTGTTGAAAGTCTTTCAATCTTTTCTTCGTTTTATACAGTGTAGTTTTTGTTTGTCCTCTAAGTCATTTATTAGTGTGATACTGCTCTTGTCCGATGTTGTCCGCTTGTCTAGACACTTGAAGTTCAATAAATATCTCAAGCTGAGCTAATCTACTACAAGCAGTGCCATATTTAGAAATAGAGCTAGTTAATATGCAGCTTAGGAATTCATGAGCTGCATCGGTGTAGGGAAAAAATCAACTCTTCCTCTTAAATGAGGTTTAATTTTAATAGATTGTAAATACATTTTTATTTTAATACATTTCACTCTATTTTAAAGGATTTTGTAAATATTGTGAGTTTGCTAGCATATTCTTCATTGTTTCGTTCAATAAAATAAACAGTAAGCTACAGTATATTGCCTTACTCTTTATATTTAAGAAGCGGATTGGCTTGCTGGCAGGGCCACGGTAGGTGCAGGAAAAGCAATGGGCTGGGCCGAGATTCTCGTTGCTCTCAAGGCGACAGGACTAGAAGATGACTGAGGAGACGACGTTGAATCGGCAACACTAAAAAAACTACAGAAACTTCATGTCCAAAAGCGTGTCGCTAAACATGAACACTATACACGTAGCCAAAGAAGAATAGTACAATACAGAACTGGTGGTAATCAATCGCAACACGATGAGCGATATACAGAAGATGGGATCCGAGCGCTAATGGACTTGTCCAATGTGTAGTGAGGATGATCTGTTCATTTACTTACTTACGTCTTTCTAAGTTTTTTTTTTTTTTAGCTTAGCTAGTGTAAATTAAAACGATAGAGCTTTCGAGGCTTAAAATATCTTAAGGTCTCACGAAGTCCAAATCAGGCCCTGGTTACAACTCTTTTATAACTCGCACAGTGACGTGGGGTCCCAACCCTGAGGCCCCAGGAGTGTTTACAAAACAGCCAGAAACGGAGAAGGAAGCTTTAGCTGCTGGCTTCGAAAAAATCAATGAGTGCGAAGGTAGGTGAAAAAGGATTAGAATTATAAAAAAAATTTCTGATTATCTTAAATGACATTTTTAATGGCTGAGATACCTGAGGGCATTGAAACGGTATGAAAATGAATAAATAAATAAATACAGGCCTAGCGATTGTTACAGGCTGAATGAATGAATGAATGAATGAATGAATGAATGAATAAATGAATAAATGTTATCACTGCACTTGCGGTATTCCAAAAAGTGCTTTCCGCCTTTACCAGTTCTTTAGTTAGTTGCGTATAATATCCTTTACAGGACGTTGCAAAACCAACCCCAGCAATAATTGGCTGTTGTGATTTTTTCAGGCAAATTTACCTCCAGTAGTTTGCCATTGCTTTTTGGACGGTCGGTTTCTCGATACACTGTCGAAATCAACGCAAGGCGCAAGGCCTGCAGTTGGGATCCAACCCGGAATCCCGGCATTACGAAGCTCGTTCGCAACGCCAAAGCCACAGACGCCAACGCCTTTCTTAATAGCCAGCAAAAATTTCCTATACTGTTGGAGCCAGTTAATCGGTACACATTAAAATAGAGTGCTGTATAAGAAATCTATTTATATTCCATGAACATCGCCACGCCTTACTGAATAGTTTGGAAGATCATACTTCTCCACGTATTGCAGTCGCCTTCCAAATTGACCATTTCGTGTGCTGAACCTTTCCATGCGACGACAAACGGCTGACAGGAGTCTTCTCTTGTTATCTTTCTTAATATCTGTTCTATAAATTTTTCTATTTGTCAAAACATGTTTGAGTTTTCTTTTCTCATAGTGCAGACCAAATGTGGTGACCGCCTATTTTTGGTTTTCTTGACGGTAAGCTAAGAGTGAACCGTTTTTTGTAGGGGGTTGGACGGATATGATGGTCAGCGACGCAAATATGAACTACAAGAAGCACCAACAATACGTCAGACGAACTTTCTGAGTCCCAACATTGAGTTGTAAATAGTTGACATCTGTAACCATAGACACCAGAACTGGGGATCTCTGGCCCCTTCTCACCTCCCTCCCCCTCAATTTATGAAGATGGAGATCTGAGCTCTAATAATTTTAGATATGATAATATTTAATTATATCAATATTGCTGAGCAATTAAGCACAGCATATATTTCTCATAATTTTATAGGGGGTGGAGTTGCTCCAAGGCTTAGGTCGGGTTTAACTGCGCAAAAAATTGATAATAATAATAATTGCAATAATTGTCACGCACGAGTTAAGCCCATTATCCGAGCCTTAAAAACCTAGGGGTCTAAAAGTCAATACTCTACTTGTTTCATATACAGCTGTACACTCATAGGGATAAGAACATGGGAGCTCAGACCCAGTAAGGACCCTATGGGATCAAGGGACTGTCAAGGGGAAGATAGGGGTGGGGGGGGGGGGGGGGGGTGGGAGCGTAATGAGTCTCCTTAAAAAATAAATAGGTTTGCAAGTGACTCCACAAAGTTTTTAATAAATCCTATTTAAAAGTGTTTGTTTGTAGACGTCATCACCATTTAAAATATATATATATATTTTTATTTGTTGCCATTCCGCAAATTACTATCATGATCTTAATTTAGGATTAACACCCATGAGGTGATTTGTCTACATAATTTGTCAGGTGGAAAAGGAACTGCCATGGGGTGGACATGCAAGCACTTCTTGCGCACCGCACCCCAAAATTTCCTTTGTGTCGGCTCCTTTGATCAACTCATTAGTCTAACAAAAGATTTACTGCTTCCCACAGCGTATTTTTTTTTTTTTAAATAACAATGGCTACAATAAACCGCACAGTATGGTCAATAGTACAAATAATTGTAGGCTGATACTGAAAACTGTAAGAGTCCTAAGGTTATCATTTACCGCGGCGTCCGTGGCTTAGGCTTTGCGAGTCTGAATCGTAATTCCATAGTACCCAGATCAGAACCATCTGCTGGCTGCGTGGATATTTATCATGGTATAGGGCGTTGCAGGTCAAACTAGCCTAGAATGAGTACCAGGATGTATGTCAGGGGGGGGGGGGGGGGGGGGGGGGAGGGGGTAGTCAAGACGGCCGGCGTAATGCTGACCACATTACCCACCTAGTGCCGATTGGTTTGTAAAAATGTAGGTGCTTTTCCCATATGCCCGATGCGCCTAAGACGTGAAAAGGGATCTTTACTTGCTTTTACTTATGCTATCATTAGGTAAAACCTTGTTAACGACAATTTAAAGGGACTGAAATATCACGAGTTCATGTTTAAAAAAGTCATCCTAAACAGGGAATAATAATAATACTTGCTGGGACCAAAATTGAGTTCATGTTAAATGAGTGTTCATCTTTCAGCTAGTTTATGCTACCAGGTTTGACTGTATAAAGTTAGGAATAAATAGCAGGGGCAACGAAAGAGTAGAAAACACTACACGTTAATGCGCTTTCTTCCAGCACGCTATCCTTGGAAAGGTTCACGTTATCTAAAAAATGGCGACAGATCTTTAATGCTCTTGTATGACGTTGCTGGATACATAGCAGGGATTCAAGCACAGGTAAGCCTTCCCGTCTGTAGTACACTCTATGGTGAGACACGCATGTTTAAAAAGAAAAGAAAAGAAAATGAACCATTTCACGTCGATGACGTGTTCGGCAAATAAAGCTAGACATGTCTTTATTTAAAAAAAAATATACATTATTTGCATCTCGGTGAGTAATGCGGTCAACACCATTGTCTTCTAATTCTGAGAACTTTACTCATTAGAAAAGCGAGCCTCTGTGGTGTGGCGGCTAGATGCTCGCCTATGGGTTCGAAATTAATGCATTTAGGTCCTAACAGAACCGGAAGTATTTCTGAAATGACTTGGGTTCCCAGATCAACCCATCAGCCTTAAATGGGTTCGAGGTAAAGTCCTTGCAATTAAAGGCAGCCGGGGTGATGTTGAACTGGTGACCCACCAGGTGGCGTCTGGTCTATGTAAGCAGAAACTCCACAGGGGAGCATGTATGGCAGGAGTCTACCGATCATCAGAAGAAATAATCTTTCGTCGATAAATGTTTCGGCCCACGAGCTCCTAGACATTTTCAGAGAGTGGGCCCATCTGAGTTCATGAGGCTCAGGCTTGATTCTCTCTTGCTGCACGTAATACCGGGTGTTCTCGGACAGGGATAAGACGAAATTGGTGACTTTGCAAAAGGTACTGTAAGATACAAAGTGTATTTACATAGTCGTTGCGGTAGAATTAGGAATAAACTCACAGGGAGCAAGTACAGCAGGGATCTACCAGTCATCAGTAGAAGTTATCCTCGTCGACAAGTGTTTCGGCTCACGATTCGCCTAGACACTTTCGAAGGTGGGCCCACCTGAGTTCATGAAGCTCAGGGCTGGTACCCTGCTGCACGAGATTACCGGATGGTGTTTTTCTTTCGGATAGGGACAAGACGACTTGGTGGTTTCGCAGAAGGTACTGTGAGATAAGAAGTCGTTGCGGCAGCCTAATTAGAACAGTGAGCATGCCTGGACGACCGAGCGACAAGCTTACGTTTGGTTTGTCGGACACATGTTAGACTTTGTTGGCAGATGGCAGAAGGACACTGGCAGACAATTCGGACACGATGGACTTTAAGGGATAAGATTTTCTTTTCCACTAGATACCCGGACCAGCTCACCAAGGCTCACTCAGAGCCAGCTCGAGGCCCTCTCTGCATCCTCGTCCAGTTGTTTCAGTGCTCGTTTGCGTTTATTTCCTCGCAGGCCTAGTAAAATATACGGATAGTCCTATTTGCTCAATAGCCTGAGGGCATGGAAAAGAGTCCATTTTTTAAAGTTGAATTTTTAAAGAATACCTTATGCAATAAGGCAGTTCAAAAATGTATTTGTCATTCTACGGCGTTAATAAACTACTACATAACTATGGATGATGGACAATTAGCCACAGAGACACACGAAATAATTGTAATACGCCTCTAATATACAGGTGCCAGAGAATCAACCTAATGGCTTCCCGTCAACTTACCAGCGGCCCCCATTTGTTAAAGATGGAAGTTTTTGGACGATCACAGTTTACTTCACAGATCCATGTAAGTAATCATAATGTAAGCACATTATGGCAGAGGTAATTAAACTTTTGGTAATACATGCAATCAGGAAGGAAACAGGAACAAATGAGAAAATGACTACGAAATGCTCTGAGTTGAGCGTCTGAAACATGAAAAACTTGCAGTAACAACAATGGTCATAAAATATTATGCTTTAATTGGGGAGGACTTATCTTAAAGAGAGAGGGTCACATTGTAATTTCTATGTCCATCTATAGAGCTCTATAACAATATAGCATAGAAAGATTAAAAAGTTCCGACAACACATGTTTAAATTCTAAATCTTATTCTTACAGTCCATGCCGTGTGGTGATGATAGTCGCGCTATCCACAGCCATCTGTCTCGTGTACTTTTAATCAACTCTGGCACAGATGATTCTCTATGCTATATTGTCAGACTTTCTAGCTTTTGTTCTCTCTGTCTCCCTCTGACTCTCCTCCCCTCCAACTTTCCTACTGTAACTATGTACTCCAGTTTTCTTCTTTTTATAACATGACAAAACAATGTAGATTGTCTCTTTCTGATGTGGGCAATCGTGAGTCAGTTTCTTTCAAGACGTCTTCATTACTCTTTAACAAAAAAATGTCTAGTGTGTTCTCATCATGTGTCTATAAAACCGCATCTCCGCAGCTTCTGAATAAGTTTTCACTAATGTATTAACTGTCCATGATTTACTTCCGTATATCAACACAGGGTTTACATAGCTTTTAAGAATTCTCTTTCTCGTCTCAGCTAACAAAGAACGATTTTTAATTACCGACACACATTTATTGACTGGTGCCGTTGCTGATTTGAGGGTGTGTGTGTGTGTTTGTGTGTGTGCTCGCGCCTGTGTATAAAATCACAAATGTTTACTTAATGAAAGACAGAAAATACACTGAAACAAGAGGTGATTAAAAGGTGATACTGGCACCGGAGAGAACACACACTGGGAAAGACTGATAAAACTCTCCTAACACTACTAACGTTTACTTGCAAAGGAATCCACATGATTTTCAGAATTCTTGGAAAAACACAGAAAAGAGAATCACACACTGAAGTAAGATGGAGAGGAGTAGGGGTGAGTTCCACTGTAAAGAAAGAACTGTACTTCTTGGGGGTGGGGGGGGGGGGGGAATATCAGTTGATGGCCTTTCAGACAAATAGGGATATTAGATGTTTCAAAAAAAAAAAAAAAAAAAAAAACATGATGAATGTGCACGTGTAAATGCGTAAATTATTTAAATCACTTTTTTTAAAGTGAGCATCGTAAGGTCACAATATCCATCATCAGAATAGAGATAGATGCAGTAACAGCAACGTTTTACGGTTACAAAGCAATACAACCAGACAGGTAACCGTAACTGACTTCAGCATAGCTTGCTAATACTTAGTTTCACCTAGCGGCGAGCTTCTCAGTTGCAGAGCTGAAATGTCAAAGGCTGGCTGGGATCAAATAGGCAGTTCAACAAAACACAGTATCCATATTTAAAGATACTGATTCGGAAGAACTTGAGCAGAGAAACTTGGCACATTTCAGAGTGCAGGAAAAACTTAGTAGTAGTAGTAGATTTTACCCCACCATCGATAAACACCCGATGACACAAAGTGCCACCATGTGGATGAGGATCACCTGTGGAGAGGTCCCGAAAACCGCGTTTAACCATTAGACCATATATATGGCCGGGCTATATTGCGGCCCCTGCAAGAGTAAGGGTGGGGCTTTAAAATAACGAAAAATTGCATCCCACAAGGAGATGAGAAGTTGCTTTTTTTTTAAGCAGGAAAAACGGCAGGCGGACGATTTTATCAAGTCGAAACTAATACCATCAATGTGGGAAATCTTTTATGGCTACTAGACAGGCGGTTACATCAACTGTGTGAAAAGCGCCAGTGCAGTGATGCATTTATTCATGTTATTGGGGGAAAGTTCGGAGGTAAAGTGGAAAGAGAAAGAAAATGGTGCATATGGGTGGACAATATCAAGAGACGCAAACATGCCTTTATGAGAGCGTTATGAAAACACAGGACAGAACTATATATATAATACAGTATCATTTAGGAATGTCTAAAGTGCGTAGGTGTCAATTATTCGATCGTTTTTTTTCATTCTTGTATTGAGAAATGTATTATTAGTTCATTTGTCTGTTTGCTAATATTTATGTATTCCATGTTAATATATAAAAAAAAAAAAAGGTTAGTTGCGTATCCATTACAGGACGTTGAAGAACCAATCCCAGCATTCCCTGGCTAAGATGTGGTTTCTCTAGGCAATTTACGTGCAGTAGTTTGTCACTGCTACTGGACGGTCGGCTTTCTTGATACCACTGTCGAAACCAACGCAAGGCGCATGGCCGCAGCTGGGATCGAACACGGCATACCGGCATTACGAAGCGTTCGCATCGACTCAGCCACAGAGCCGACATTTAAAGTAAACAAGGTGTATAAATCCATACATTCAGACATCTATACTCTCTCTCTCTCTCTGTCTCTCTCTCTGTCTCTCTCTCTGTCTCTCTCTCTTTTACGAACATATGCACATATTTAGTCAATGTCTGTTCATCCACAAGTTAGCTTTGCGATCAACGGTTTTTCTTATTGACTTCAGCCAAGATCTGCACGACAGGTCGTACAGCCGAGGAATTTAAACAACAAGGCATTGGTTCTAACTTATACATCCAGAATAGCACGCGGCCGAAAGACAGTATCATAATACCTAGAAATGAGACAGGGCTTGCAAACTCTCTTTGGAAAAAAGGACCGTGCTTTCCTATGATGGGTAAGTTGTCTCTGTAACGCTACCATAATGATTGACAAGAAAATGCAACACATTTTCTATAAATCCTAACCACAAGTGATTGAAGTTTGAAATTTGAACAACAGTTCAAAATAATAGCACACCGGTAGTAACCCATAAGTGCTCCGTTCTTCTTCTAACTCAAGTCTGAGTCCGAAAAAGCTCAGCACAGTGCGCAGACTCTGTAGCACCGGCGAGGATCATGAAATACTTTGGGTAGATTTTTAACTTCAAATTTTCCCCGGGCAGCGCCTATAGGCGATTTCGAACTGCCAAGAGATTTTTTAACGTTCGCAACAATGCACACGGGCGTTTGATCTCACTACCCAGTGACCAGAGGAAATGACTAGAAGCCCAAGTCAACGTGAAAAAATACCAGCCCTTACCGGGGATTAAACCCGGAACCTTCAGCACTCAAGGCAGACACCATGCCTCGAGACTACACAGCCCCCTCCCCCCACCCCCCCCCCCGCAAGTGACTTGAATGTTTGAACGTTTGCCTAAAGAGACTGCTGAAAGCTGTCCTGCTGTTTCAGATATCAGGGAATTATTACTTGTAACTAAGCTAGTGGGGCCGGACTTTTTACAGAAATGCCCTTGACTTCCAGGTCGACCCAGCCTTGGGTAGTAGATACAGTCCTGGGAATTAAAGGCGGCCGGCATGGTGCTGACCACATCACCCACCAGGTGCGTTTAATCTATAAAATATAGTTCTAGCCCTATACACCCAGTACGCATGAAGACGTGGGAAAGGGTCCATTACTCCTTTACTTTACTAACTAATCTAGTATCAAGAAAATAATCAGATGATCTGTGACTGAAATACTTAAAGAAAAGGCGAGTGAGGAAGCACAGGAATCGGACTTTTCTGCAGGAGATTAAAAACAGGCGAGAGTGTCCTGGCCAGCAGTACCCACTAGTGCAATGGTTCTCATCCTTCCTAATGCCGCAACCCTTCAATACAGTTTCTCATGTTGTGATGATCCCCAACCATAAAATTATTTTCGTTGCTACTTCATAACTTCAGTAAATATGTGTTTTCTGATGGTCTTAGGCGACCCATTTCAAAGGCCACAAAAAGGTCCTAACCCATAGGTTGAGAACCGGTGCACTAGTGGTATGGTTACTAGACTGAACATTTCTAGTAACAAATAAACACCAAGTGCAGGTAAAGTTAGCTGCATGAATTACTTGGGAGCCAGGTAGCACAGTGACACGTACACTTGCTTGCCTGGCCAGTGGTCATGCATTTAAACCCCCATAGACTCATCGATTGAAACAAATGATACAGTCAACGTAGTTGCACGTTTTGCGCCAGGAAATGCTATATTATGGTAACTTAGCCGGACCCTATAACTTACCCAGCGATATTAGAGGAACAAGCGTGTGGTTGTGTGTCATAAAATTTTTGAAATGTGGGTTTACAATTAAATCCTCAGCGTACCAGAGTTAAACTTTCCCATTAGTCCGTTTAGAAAAAGACCGTACTGCGAAAATGGTTTTCGATCAGTATGAGATTCGCTACCTGGAAACGATAGAGTTCTTTCCGTGTAGTATTCTCTAAGTAGCATTAGCGAATTGCATCCAACCTATACCGAAGAGACGACACTCAAAAACACATTATACACATTTACACAAATAAATAATGAGAATAATTTGATAATGGGCCAAAAAAAAAAAACAAAAAAAACACGCCATTTCTAAATCAAAGAATGTCATCCAAACGGGTTATGATCTGGAAAAATTGTAACGCCACAGGATCAACAGATGACAAGCAAGCCGCTTTTTCGTTTAGCCATTGAAAGATGCCTCGATATGTATGCCAGGAATGACGATTAGTTTTATTTATAACTGGGAAAAGGGCTCCTGGGACAGTTGATCTAAGATAAGTTTTTAAAGATTGACGTTTATCACGTGCATGAGGTGATATTCGCGAAATACGACTGTTGTGGATAAGGTTGAAGACGAATTTGAGCGAGGATGTCTAAATCTTATTCTAAATTATAATCTTATAGCCAAGTTCAGAGAACTGATACACAAAGATCAATGTCTGAATGTGATGATGAGGACACGTTGTTTGTTTGTTTGTTTTAGTATCCAGAAGCCATGAGTTGTTAACCCTTAGGCTCGGTATTATGGATATCGCAACCTTTCGGCCTTGATTCCATTGTAAATACTGTAAATCTGGGAGAAAATGTGGCTTTCCTGCCTACCCCCGGGATTGAACCCGGACCACAAGGAGTACGTCACCTGGTCTCCGCGAAATCCGGTTTAGCAAATTCCGCTAGAGAGCCGGGCGATGAGGACACGTGAATGTGATGTTAAATTTGATAAACATTGATCCTCATAAACCAGATAAAGGTGTAGGTTCAATCCCCAAGAGACACGGGTGTCCTTACTGTAGCGTAATAGGAGCCGTTAGTTACTTCATTACATATTTCAAGTTACATGTTGAAATTCTGAATCTAACAAAAAAATGGAAATAGAAAGCTCAAAGGAAGGAATGGTAAAAATCGAACACAAATACAACCAAAGGTTTGGACAAAGTCTTTATCAACGGAATACTACATACGTTCAGCTGTGTTTATGTGTGTCGTTTACATTCCTTCATGTAAGTTTTCTAGTCCCATTTCGTTTTACGTTCAGCATTTCTTGCAATCCGTTCGACTGCAGTCACCCCCTATTTCAATTATGTTAACATTGGTTGTTTTCAAGGTCTGTTGTCTAGCCTCTAAGTTTTCTTGTCACAGGTTGTGTTGTGTTTAGTATTGCCTTGATAAAGACTTTCGTTCATTTGTACTTGTGACCCACTTTTCTGTTGCCTACAAGGAACTTTCTAGTAATATTTAATGGTGTGTTTATTACTAGAAAGCGCTAGTACAGTCACTTTTTGTGTGTTATAAAAGAGGTTTATGTGCACGATTATTCAGATATATGCACCTTGTAATGATAGTTACTCTGAAGAAGAAAAAGAAGACTTTTACGAGAGACTTACGGACACCATCAATAATGTTAAAGAGAAAGAGGACATCATAGTAATGGGAGATTTTAATGGTAGGGTAAGTAAAAGAAGATCACCATGGGAGAGATACCTTGGCCCATTTAGCGACACAACCACAGATTGCAATAGAAATGGAGAACACCTGCTAAACTTGTGTGCTGAACAAGATCTCTACATTACCAACACATTCTACCAACATCGCCAAAGTCAGGTTAAAACGTGGTACAAGTGGAACAACTTAGATCAAGCGTCACAAATTGATTTTATACTAGTCAGACAACGGCAGAAGAGGAAGGTAAGAGACTCAAAAGCTGTCCCAAATGCGGGACTGGATTCAGACCATCGCCCAGTAGTTATGAACATATGCAACTCAAGTAGAAACAGTCTACATAAACAGAAACGTGAAGAAATCATCAACACTAAGAAATTAGAGGAAGAGAATATCAAACATGAATTTGAACTAGAAATAACAAAGGCTTTTGCAGATATTGCCAAGGAACCAGTAAGAATTGAAGAAGAATGGAATTATTATAAATCAACCATCACGAAGATATTAAAAGACAAGTGTGGTACCAGAAAGACGGGCAAAGGCAAGAAAAAGGGTACCGCTTAGTGGAATGAACAAGTCAAAGAAGCAGTGTCAAATAAAAAGAAGATGTTTCAAATATGGTTAAAAACAAAAGACGAAAAGGATTACATTAGGTACAGACTAACTCGAAGAGACACCAAGAGAACAATAAAGAAATCCAAAGAGGATTCATGGAAAAAGTATGGTGAACACCTAACACAGCTATGTACAGAATCATCAAGAGACTTTTATAAGAGTGTGAAAGCGATGCGATTAAGAGAAGAAAGCTTCAATCCAACATCAGTCATAAATGATAAAAATGGAAAACCATTATTCAGCCCAAAAGAAATTAAAAAAAGATGGGAGGAATATTTTAAAGAACTTTTGAACCCGTCGGGAGTACATGAAACAGCAGAATTCCATTCAAGGGCTTCAGATCATCTAGAACCACATATCCTGCGGGATGAGGTAGAGAAAGTTATCAAAACAAGTAAAAGACACAAAGCAGCTGGTATCGACGGAATAACAACAGAAGTCATCCAGGCTGGAGGGGACACTATGATCACCTGGCTGGAGAGAATTTTCAATAAAGCATGGGCAGAGAGAAAGGTACCAGTGGATTGGCAAAGATCAGTTGTAGTACCTATCTGGAAGAAAAAAGGAAACAAGAGAGAATGTGGAACTTATAGAGGAATATCTTTACTAAGTCATGTGGGGAAAATGTATGCAAAGATCTTAGAAGGTAGGATAAGAGCAAAGGTTGAACCTCTACTGAGTAAAGCACAATTCGGTTTCAGGAAAGGGCGAGGTTGCACTGATGCCATATTTGCACTAAGACAAGTCTGTGAAAAGACACTCGAATACGATAAAGAGCTGAACGTGGTCTTTGTAGATCAAGAGAAGGCATTCGACCGTGTGGACAGAGATGTGCTGTGGAGAATTCTTGACGATTACGGAGTGCAGGGTCAATTATTAGACAACATCAGAGCCCTCTATGAAAAAAGTGAAAGTGCATTAAGAACATCTAGTGGTCTTTCTGAATGGTTCAAAGTCACAACTGGTGTCAGACAAGGATGTGTACTGTCACCATTACTTTTTATAACATACATGGATAAGATCACTGTAGAAGCAAACCCAGACGTGTATGCTATAAACGAATTACTTTTTGCTGATGATCAAAGCATACTGTATCAAAATGAATATGATCTACAGGAACATCTGACTACTCTCAACAACAGCTGTTTACAACATAATATGAGAATCAGTACAGAAAAAACAGAAGTTATGAAGATCAGCAGAACACACAGGCCACTGAATATAAATGTTGGAAGTGCCAAAATCAAGCAAACCAAAGAGTTCAAATACTTGGGCAGTATATTTACAGAGGATGGAAGAATGGACAGAGAGATAGAAACAAGAATACAGAAAGCAAATGCTGTCACATACCAACTATCACCTCTGCTTAAACATCCAGATATAACCATGAAGACCAAAAGACAACTGATAAACACCATCTTCATTCCAACACTCTGCTACCAGTGCCAGACATGGACAATCAACAAGACACATGAAAGAAAAATAGAAGCCTGTGAAATGAAATGTCTAAGAAAAGCAGCGAATAAGACCAGACTAGACAGGATAAAGAACATAGACATTAGAAACACTGTCAAAACTACACCATGTTTAGACTACATAGAACATCAAAGAATTAAATGGTTTGGACATCTAACCAGGATGAAAAATGACCAAATAACATCACAAATTTTCAACCAAAGAAGCTCAGGATATAAGGCAAGAGGAAGACCAAGGAAACGGTGGATTGACGGGGTCTCCGAAACCTGCCAAAAGCATGGCCTCAGAACATCACATGCTGCCCGCCTTGCTTATGACAGGAACTTGCATCTCCCCACAACGCTTAGCGGCATACGTGGAAGGAAAAAGTAAAAGTAAAAGTAAAGTAAGTATGTGCACTCGAACCTGTTCCCTCCAAACGGCGCCAGCGCCACATTGTAAGAACAGATGCACTTCAACACATGGCCAATCAGACATTCGTCCATAATGCAGCCAGGCATATTTCTGAATTTCCCATCAATTGTTTGCGAAGTTTAAGCCACCAAGTAAGTGACACTCCGCTTCGTAACTATGAGGAGATTTGCCGGTATAGAAGAATTAAATTGAAATGTGACTACGAAAGTTTGACACGCAAATTCAAATGTTTCGGCCAAAGTATTTATGGAAAACAAATAGTCATTTAGTATACATTGTCTGTTGAATGTATTCATTAGCTTTTGTGGTTTCGTAAAATCAGGTTTATATTTTTAGATACGTTTTTTGAAGTCTTCACACAGGTTTGTTTCCCATTCTATTGTTTGCTGATAAAAAGCAACAACTGGTATAGACATTTAATTTCATATTTATCTTTGAAATTAAAGTTTGACATATTTACTTTTGTCAAGTACACTTAATACCGATTTGAGAATCGACATCATAGCATACGGGGCAGACCTACAGATGCTCTGTTGTCCAGAAGTTGACGTACAGCCAAACCTTTCCGCCGGAGTTTACAGCCGGTGAAAGCGAAGAAGAAACAGAATCCACACTTAAGGAAACTGATCATAGTTAAATAGTAAGTAGGCATATAATAGGCTACTTTTACGCCGGTGGAACATCTAGCGTAGGATGCACATTTTACACCCTTTGAAAAAAAAAGCAGAGAGTGAAGCACTGATGTCCCTCTCACACAAGGTGGAAGCATAGCTATTGGTGGCCTGCCCAGGCGATTGATATATATCATATATGAAGTGAGGTATGAACACCAACATCTACGTAGCCTGTGAATGAGTTAATAGCGAACATCCGGGAAGCCCGCGTTAACACGTGTTGTTTACACTTGCATGGCACCCGGTGGTTTTATAGTCGAATCCACAACTAGGTAAATTTGATCATAGTTAAATAGAAAGCAATCATGCAAAGGGCCATTTTTATACCAGTGGAGCAAGCAGGACAGGCTCGATATTCTATCCCCTCTGATCCTATGAAGATAGTGCGCCACTGATGGCCGTGTTACTTACACACGATGGAAGCATATCTAGAGGCCATCTACGCAAGCGATGGATATTTACAGTATGAGTAACCGTGAATACCGCATCCCCGCGGCACATATCCAGGCTTGCACCAGATGTTTCCTCAAACCAAACGCTATGATATCTTGTTGGCATTAACGATATTTGAAGAAAAAAAATTAGATCAGTGCAGTGCAGTGCAAAGAGGTTTTGGTGTCAGCATTATTATTTGTCGGGGTTTCATACAGCCCCACAGTGGTATCAGGGGGCAGACCGTCCAGAGGCAATGACAAACTACTGGACTTAAATTTGCTTAGAGAAACCACACAACAGCCAGGGGCTGCTGGGGTTGGTTCTGCAACGTCTTGTAAAGAATACGCAACTAACCTCATACAGCCCACACAAACCGGACTTAAGGTTACGTCGTAACCTGTTTCTCGTGCATCAGTATAACCGTACTGTATGGTTGGCTATACGGTTAAACAGTTAAAAACAAAATTAAAGAAAGGACCTTCTCCTTTAAGCGTATTAGGCATATAGGGCTCAAACTATATTTTTTACACGGTTGAACAGGGTTTTGGTGAGTGATTTGCAAATGAAATTCTAGAGTAGAAAAAAAAAACCACATTTGGTCGACGGCGCTCAGATGACAGCAGAGGAAAATTAATAAGATGTACTCAGATAAGAACTCGACAAGAGGAGACTTTTACTCAACAATGACCTAAATGAGGACGAGATCTACAAACATCAATTTTTAGACTTCGGACTGGACACTGTGGTCTTTGAGCACACCTGTACAGGATAGGCATACACGAATCTGCTGCCTGTGATTGTGGAGCAGAAAGACAGACCCCTGAGCACATACTGCAGTACTGCCCTTACCTCTCCCAGCAAAGACTGTGGATCTGGCCCAGAGGATCCACATTGCTATAGAAGCTAAGGAGGACCGATGGCGACCTTAAACGCACAATCCTATTTGTGTCCCAGACGGGACTCAATGTTTAGCATGACTGATGTTGAATGCTGAAGAAGAAGAAGAAGATCTCAAAGACAGAAGACAGGGCATAATACCTCTGGAAACAAAAACACAACATGAGATATAAGGAGTTCAGCCATAAATAGACGTAACGCAATTACAGCCAGAAAAAGAAATGGACACGAACAGCGAAATAACCCCCCCCCCCCCCACCCCCGCCGGACACAGGACCACAATATTAGTCGCCTGTTCCTTACAGGACGTTGCAGAACCAATCCCAGCAATTTTCGGCTGTTGTGGTTGTTTTAAAGACAAAATGACGTTCAGTCTTCGGCTCTCGATAGCACAGTGGAACGCACGACGATCTACTGCCAAATCACCTTTAGCTAGGATCTACCCCACCATCTCAGCATTACGAAGCCCGTTCGCAGACACCGGCGACAGACCACTATCATCATTATCATCATCATCATAAAGCACTTCTGCCGTTAAGCGTTGGTTAGAGGAATAATTGCGATCCAGTGCACGCTGGCTGTCACTGACTATTGTCATGCCGTGTGTCTTTAATGTTTGCCGATCCATATTTCTCGCAGCCGTAGCCGTACTTTTGTTTTGCTGCTGTTCTTCTGAGATGCAGCGCTTGCGATAGTATCTGATTTGGCTGCATTCTAACAAGATGGCCAAACCACTTGATCTGCGGTTTCTCGATAAAACAGTTCACGGTGTCGTTTCCAGTTTGACTGATAATAGTATAATTATTCACTCGATCTCGAATCGTAAGGTTCGTGGCTTTTTTGCAGGAATCCCATCTCGCAGGTGATGATTTTGCGTATATGGGCTTGAGATAGTGTCCATGTTTGGCACTGGTAGCCTAATGTTGGAATGAATATGTTGTTTATAATATAATCTCTTTGCACTCATAGTTATGTTTGAATGTCCTAATAATGGTGACATTTGGTACATAAGAATACTTGCTTTCTGACATCTGGTTTCGATTTCCCGGTCAATTTTACCTTCTTCCGTGATCATACTTCCTAGATATTCACTTTCATTAACTTGATTCACACCAGAACCATTCAGATGTATGTGTAGTGGAAAGGGGTTCTTCTAAACTGCATTGTTTCGGTTTTGTTTGCATGTTGCATTTACTACATGCTGACCATTATGAAGAACACATATGTGGCTAGAGAGATAAAATCACACCGCTTGCGACAATAAGACAACAACTCTTAGCACAACCAACCTTTTAACCCATTGAACATGACGCAAAATAAAATGGACCACAATGAAAACCAAAGTTGTTTTTATCAGGTTTGAACGTGGTCGATTCTATCCCCTCACCAAACAACATCCTGAAGCTGAAAGTAAAGAACATGGACTAGAAAAAGGAAAGAAAAAAGAATCAAGTCTTTGTTACTGAAAGTTGGATTTGAGAAGTAGTTATTTACTTTTTTAGTCCATCATCTAACAAGAATCAAGTCTTTGTTACTGAAAGTTGGATTTGAGAAGTAGTTATTTACTTATTTAGTCCATCATCTAACAAAGAATCAAGTCTTTGTTACTGAAAGTTGGATTTGAGAAGTAGTTATTTACTTATTTTGTCCATCATCTAACAAGAATCAATTCTTTGTTACTGAAAGTTGGATTTGAGAAGTAGTTATTTACTTATTTTGTCCGTCATCTAACAAAGAATCAAGTCTTTGTTACTAAAAGTTGGATCTGAGAAGTAGTTATTTACTTATTTAGTCTATCATCTTCTATCAACCCCATGGTGTAGTGGTTTGCAGCAGAGATCGCCTGCCTTGTCTATCAACAGTTTTGTGTTTCGTTTTGTTTCATTCTAGCCTTCAATATTAAGGAGTTACAGAATTAGGGAGTACCTACTTGGTAGAAGTAGTGTGATGGTTAAGTATTGACATTACGACTTGAAATCTTTCGTCTGCGACTAAACTAAGCTGCATCTACTTCAGTGCTTCTAACTTACGGATGACCATTCTTCGCTGAAATGAGTTTTCCAACACGCAGGTACACACTACTGGTGGAATCAGAGTGAAGACTTGAGTTGTGACCAAACATTCCCAGTTTTCCTCTTCTACACGGGGCAACAGCTTGTTGGTTTCGGCTGGGCGTTTGTCACCAATTTGTCTTCACCAAACTATGAGCACCCACCTGCAATTTTATACAAGGTTTGTATGTGTTTTAGGTCCTCTTAGTACCGGAGTTATAGTTTACATGATTCTTTATATATATATATATATATATATATATATATATATATATATATATATATATATATATATATATATATATATACATTTTTTATAGTGGTGAAGTAGGTAAACAAGCTAATAGGCTGTTTATTCTCCTCTACCTCCACCTCGTTGTCTTTTACTTTTTTCTCAACTTCTTGTTTATTTCCTCCTAGATAAATAGTGAATATAGATAGAAAGAAAACTAACAAGCCTACTAGACAGCCAAGTGGTCAGACTGACTGAAATACAGACGGAGAGGCGGACTGATAGATAGATAGATAGATAGATAGATAGATAGATAGATAGATAGATAGATAGATAGATAGATAGATAGATAGATAGATAGATAGATAGATAGATAGATAGATAGATAGATAGATAGATAGATAGATAGATAGATAGATAGATAGATAGATAGATAGATAGATAGATAGATAGATAGATAGATAGATAGATAGATAGATAGATAGATAGATAGATAGATAGATAGATAGATAGATAGATAGATAGATAGATAGATAGATAGATAGATAGATAGATAGATAGATAGATAGATAGATAGATAGATAGATAGATAGATAGATAGATAGATAGATAGATAGATAGATAGATAGATAGATAGATAGATAGATAGATAGATAGATAGATAGATAGATAGATAGATAGATAGATAGATAGATAGATAGATAGATAGATAGATAGATAGATAGATAGATAGATAGATAGATAGATAGATAGATAGATAGATAGATAGATAGATAGATAGATAGATAGATAGATAGTAGATAGATAGATAGATAGATAGATAGATAGATAGATAGATAGATAGATAGATAGATAGATAGATAGATAGATAGATAGATAGATAGAGATAGATAGATAGATAGATAGATAGATAGATAGATAGATAGATAGATAGATAAGATAGATAGATAGATAGATAGATAGATAGATAGATAGATAGATAGATAGATAGATAGATAGATAGATAGATAGATAGATAGATAGATAGATAGATAGATAGATAGATAGATAGATAGATAGATAGATAGAATAGATAGATAGATAGATAGATAGATAGATAGATAGATAGATAGATAGATAGATAGATAGATAGATAGATAGATAGATAGATAGATAGATAGATAGATAGATAGATAGATAGATAGATAGATAGATAGATAGATAGATAGATAGATAGATAGATAGATAGATAGATAGATAGATAGATAGATAGATAGATAGATAGATAGATAGATAGATAGATAGATAGATAGATAGATAGATAGATAGATAGATAGATAGATAGATAGATAGATAGATAGATAGATAGATAGATAGATAGATAGATAGATAGATAGATAGATAGATAGATAGATAGATAGATAGATAGATAGATAGATAGATAGATAGATAGATAGATAGATAGATAGATAGATAGATAGATAGATAGATAGATAGATAGATAGATAGATAGATAGATAGATAGATAGATAGATAGATAGATAGATAGATAGATAGATAGATAGATAGATAGATAGATAAACAGACACAGAGAGAGGAAGAGGGAAACTGAAAAACCTCTGTCGAAAGACTAACTAAAGCGACAAATCAACAGACCGACTAACTACCTGACAGTTAAACAAACCATCTGAAACGACGATAACGCTGACAATCAGCCGGACTGATAAATAGAGCTTTAGCAACTGTAGTGTGATTATGATTTCTGTCTGCAGATGTTCATGAATCCTGTTCCCAAATGCCTGATGACTTCTGGTGTTACTACTTCGATGCACATCTATCTCACTAGTCAACCAGAGAAAATCACTTGCTAGGCTGACTGCAACATTAGGAGGCCTAGTCGCTAAATCTACCCTGACTGCAACTTATGTGAAAGAATAAGTCTCAGATTAATCATTTACCATTAAAGACAAGGTTAAATGCATTATCTGAGAATTGACGTTGTTCAGTTACATGTCTCTTGCAAGGCCATGTGACAGTGTATGTTTAATACTGCTTTCTGCTTTGTGTACACCCGCCCCCCTCCTCCCCACCCCCTACACACACACAAACACACATACATACACACATCGTCTCGAGTTTGTCTGTATGGTAATGTTTTATACCCACATTTATAGCTGCTTAGTTCTTTGTTTTATGCCCCCCTTACTGTTTTGAAAAAGCGTTATGACTTTAAAGAGCAACAATTAAATGACTATAAATAAAAAGACGGTCTATATCTTGAACTGCTTTAAATATATGGTGTTATCCTCATCTTGTAATAGACCAGTGGTCGGCAAACTCATTAGTCAAAAGAGCCAAAAATCAGCAGTAGGACGACTGAAATTTGTTTAAGAGCCAAATTTCTGTTCAAGTTCCAGTCAAGAACCATATTTTTGGGGAAGTCAAAACCGATTTGTGGCCGACCGGGGTCGCAATATAGGCAGGCCATCAATATGGCCAATTGTCTGAACGCGGTTTCTGGGACCTCTCCACGGTGATCCTCATCCATATGGTGGCACTTTGTGTCATTGGGTGTTTATCGCTTGTGTGATGTCCTAGTGGGGTAGAAAGTCAGTCAGTCAGTCAGTCGCCCTCATATCGCTAAAGAGCCGCATGCGGTTCGCGAGCCGCGATTTGCCGACCACTGTAAAAGACCATGTAACACTTGATGGATAATGCACTCAAAGTCACGGGCCGCCTTTACTTCCCATGATATTAGTGGTACACATTTTAAGACCGGTAGAACTTAGAGCCCCCAGTAAATACCAGTACAATCCTTTTCAATGTGAATTCCAACCGATAACCGCCTGATCAGCAAGCAGAATTGCATTAAAAAAAATAAGTAAAGGAACTTTTTTGTGGTGCATTGTGCAAATGGATCCAAACCAGCGTTTCTTGTCGCTTATCTTATCCTGTAACCAAAATGTTTGATACATTTTTAACAATTTCTTTCATTGCTTTTAATATCATGTAACAAACATGTTTGTTCACTTTCAGACAATTTCTTTCATCACTCATCTTATACTGTATAACCAAAATGTTCAGTTTGAAAAAATTTCTGTCATTGCTCATCTTATCCTGTAACCAAATGTTTGTTCAGTTTTAGAAACCTCTTTCATCGCTTAGCTGATCATGTAACCAAAATGATTGTTCAGTTTTAGACACCTTTTTCATCGCTTAGCTGATCATGTAACCAAAATGTTTGTTCAGTTTTTAGACACCTCTTCCATCGCTTAGCTGATCATATAACCAAAATGTTTGTTCAGTTTTAGACACCTCTTTCATCGCTTAGCTGAACATGTAACCAAAATGTTTGTTCAGTTTTAGTCTTTCATCCCTTATCATGTAAATGAAATTTTTGTTCAGTTTGAGATAATTCCTGTCATTGCTCATCTTTTTCTTTAACCAAAATGTTTGTTCAATTTTAGACAACTTCTTTCATCACTTATCATGTAACCAAAATGTTTGTTCAGTTTAAGACAGTTTCTTTCATCACTTATCCTACGTTTCCAGCATACGTAAATCTCGACTAGACTCGCCAGAACCTATGAGCATGTCCTACCCCCCACTTCCCACCCAACCCTCTCATGCAATCCTAGTGTTTGAAGTTTCATTTTTAAGTTCTTCTTTGTACAGTCCATATTAGTTTAAATGTATTATTATCTTTAGTTGCAATATTAATAAGTTTTTATTTAAACAAGGCTTATCCCCCCCCCCCCGGTACACCTTTTCTCTCCCCCCCCCCTCCCTTGTTCCTAGCATTGAAAAATAAAAGGAAAAAAGGCTCTTCGTATGAGGGGAAATAACAATGATTTAAGGTAGGACAGAAGCAAGTCGGTTCCGTTCCGTTCCGTTTACTCACACACACAATTTCGACCACATTCAACATACTGTCAGTCAGACTAAGCCGTCAAAAAGACTCCGCTTATATTTGTGGTCCGGTTTATTTGCGCATTTGTGGCATAATTTCTGGTATTTGCACCAGCTCTCTGACTAAATCCTTCTTTCCTCAAAGTCAGATCGCTCGATTCTTTCCTGTTGCTGCCAAAGGCTGCAATATAACCTGACGGTTGAACGTGGTTTCCGGGAACTCTCCACAGGTAAACCTCATCCGCATGGTGGCACTTTGTGTCGCCGGGTGTTTATCGCTTGCGTGATGTCTTGGTGGGGTAAAACTTACCTACCTACCTTTCCCGTGTCCGAGTGTTTTCTCCTGTCGTTGTATTGCTTTGTAAGATGAAAGTTTAGCTCTACTGCACTTGGTCTGGTTAGAAGGGCAAGGATAGGTCCCGAAAACAAGGGTGTAACCAAAACGGCAAGAGCCATCTCAAAAACAAAACTTTGCTGGACGGTTTCCTCATGGGGGAGACTGACCCTGCGCAAAAAAAAAAAAAAGAAACATACAAGTCGGAGTCTTGAATTGCTTAAAAAAAAAGTAAAGATCCTTTTTCACACCTTTAGGCGCATCGGGCATATGGGAAGAGCACCCACATTTTTACAGATAAATCGGCACTAGGTGGGTAATGCGGTCAGCCTTACTAGGCCGGCCGTCTTTTTTTTCCTCAGGACATCCATCCTGGTACCCGTTTTAAACTGGGCTAACATGCGACGCCCCATACCATGACAAAATTCCACACAGCTAGCAGTGAGTTTCGATCGCGGAACGTTGGAATTACGAGTCAGTCTCGCAACGCCTAAGCCACGGACGCCGCACGTTCAAGTACTTAGGTACTCTAAAAACAGTTGATGAAAGGCTGCTGTTGAAACAACCGACTGTTCCTAAGTGTATGTGTGTGTGTGTGCCTTTACTCCCCTTTTCGCTTTCGTTAAGCTTCTTACTCATGACTCAGTGGATTATTGGCTAGGATTAGGTCTGGGCATGACCACCTAAGGAAAGGGCATGGTGCTGACGTCATCATTTTGACGTTACTTCACCACCCCGGGCTAACGATACGTCCCGTTTTTTGACTCTGACAGTCCAGTTTTTTTTTTTCTTTTTCGGTGTGTTCCCGCCGTTCACTGAGTACTCCCCACACACACACACACACAAAATTCAGCATAATTTTAGCTCGAGAATAGAATATGAATATAGGTATCTACACATATATAAACTAAAAGAAAAAAACTAGAGAAAAACACTTTAATATTAATTAATTAGTTTGGTGTCTGCAGTTAGAAGGATTAAATATTCTCATCTTCTTAAATGTATTAGTTTCTTAATGAAAGGGTGGTGGTGAATGGGGAGCGGGTTCATAGAAACAGAAAGTGCGTCAGAAACTATTTACATTTTAACTGATGAATATCCAGTATATATCCATATAAATCACTTAGCCAAAACTGTGTATCTGGTGAACTACTGCCATCATCCATTGAGGAAAGACTTATCCGGTGTACTACTGATATCATCCACAGAGTCAAGACTTTGTAACCGGTGTAATATTGGCATCATCCACTGAGGCAAGACTGTATCCGCTGCACTACTGGCATCATAAACAGAGCCTAGACTGTGTTTGGGTGTACAACTGACACCCTCCACTGAGGCAATAATGTATTCAGTATACTGCTGACATCATCCACTGAGGCAAGACCTCATCCAGTGTACTACTGACATCATCCACTTAAGTTAGACTGTTTAACCGGTGTACTATGGACATCCTCCACTGAGGCAAGACTGTATCCGGTGCACTATTGGCATCATACACTGAGGCAAGACTGTGTATCTGGTGTACTATTGACATCATCCACTGAGGCAAGACCTCATCCAGTGTACTACTGACATCATCCACTTAAGTTAGACTGTTTAACCGGTGTACTATTGACATCCTCCACTGAGGCAAGACTGTATCCGGTGCACTATTGGCATCATACACTGAGGCAAGACTGTGTATCTGGTGTACTATTGACATCATACACTGAGGCAAGACTGTGTATCTGGTGTACTATTGACATCATACATTGAGGCAAGACTGTGTATCTGGTGCACTATTGACATCATCCACTGAGGCAAGACCTCATCCAGTGTACTACTGACATCCTCCACTTGGGCTAAACTGTTTAACCTTTGTGCTATTGTCATCACCCACTGAGGCAAGACTGTATCTGGTGTACTATTGGTATCATACACTGAAGCAAGACTGTGTATCTGGTGTACTATTGACATCATCCTCTGAGGCAAGACCTCATCCATTGTACTACTGATATGATCCACTGGGGCTAAACTGTTTACCCGGTGTACTATTGACATCATCCACTGATGCAAGACTGTAACCGGTGTACTATTGACATCATCCACTGAGCTAAGTCTGTGTATCTGGGGTACTACTGATATCAGCAACCGAGGCAAGACTGTATCCAGTGTACTACTGAAATCATTCACTGAGGCAAGACTATATTTATGGTAAATTGTGTTGGCAGTGTATGAGAGATTTATTGGCAATTTATGTTAACATCTGTTACTAGTGTATGAGAGATTCATTGGCAATTTGTGTTAAAATGAGTTGTCAGTGAATGAGAGATTTATTGGTAATGTATGTTAAAATCTGTTGACAGTGTAATGGTAATTTATGTTAAAATGTGTTGGCAGTGTATGAAAGATTTATTGGCAATTTTAAATGAGTTTGCAGTGTAAGTGATAAATAATGACATGTTAACAGGTTCTTAAAGAAATACAGTAGCAGTCTGTTGAAGGAGGATATTAATTAGCAGCTCCTTTTATAACTATATTAACATTTCCTCTTAGCGTTTGTTAATAATTCTTTCTAGAAATTAAGAAATAAGGCGATGGTTCCAATCAAAAATGTTTTGGTCGTTTCCTTTAAAATATGTAATTAAC